GCGTCGGCTGTTCAAGGATTGAACGATGTTAAAATATGAGAATGATCGATTTATTTGAAGATTTAATCGAGTATACGAAAGGAATAGCATCTTATCGTTTCTACAAAGGTATCACAGAGCTCTCTTCTGCTCCTTTTCCCATTCGGTGAATTGGTAATCAATCGATTCTCATGCACGAGTCGTCTCTCGCTATTTGTTTCCAAGAATATCGCGAACGTGCTCCTTTTTGCTCCAAGACGACGTCGAACAAACTGTTCCTCTCGTGAATCTCGAATCTTTTATCACAGAGTAAACTCACGAAAATAGAATTTCATACCGCGAGAAGATCCATTGGAAAATTTCTAGGAACATTCTTGACGTCTGACTATAGCGGTGTTGTTCTACTTAATCTTCCAAGATCTATTCTAAATTTTCTATCTTGAAACTGGTTTGGAATTACTCTGACTACAAATTTTCTGTCACCATTTTTTCTCTTTCTCTTCGTTCATTTTTCATTTAGAATCGTAGAATTCTCAGGAAATTTCTGATAAAAAGAGTTTTATCTCTTTCTCTTCTCTTCCCTTACTTTCCACTTAAAATCGCAGAATCTTCAAGAAATTTTTGATAAAAAGGAAGCTTTACTCCATCGTCAATCTTCTTCTTCTTCATTTCCTCTGATTTTCCACTTAAAATCGCACAATTCTCAAGAAATTTCCGAATAAAAAAGAAAGCGAAAGCCATCGTCGAATCTTCTTCTTCCTCTTCTCTCACTTTCCCCCTAAAATCGCACAATTCTCAACAAATACAAAGAGAAACTTCACTTCACCGTCGAGTCGTTCCATTTTCCTCGTTTCTTCTCTTCCTCCACCGCAAGAGCAACAAATTCCACTAAAAACCGCCACGGAAGGCTGTTCACAAGTTGATTTCTGGCGATGGTTCTCCAGATGCCGGCTCCGCGCCTCGCGAAACCGCTCAGGAGCCGTCTAGCGTCGACGCGAGCAGCGTGGACGAGCCGCCGTCGCCGGAAGCTCGTCTGCAACCGGAAGATCTCTCCGTCACGACCAAGAGCAAAGAAGTGAAGGACGTCGCAAACACCGCGGACAGTCTTCCACCTTTGAAAACGCCGGAGTTGAAGCTGTCGGTGAGAAAACTTCTAGGATGCAGCCCGTCGCCCCCGCCAATTTCGAGAGAACGATCTCCGAGTCCGGAGAACTGTGTCGATTTGAAGAATCAGAGCTTGAACGACGGGAAAACCTCCGATCTGAAGATTCAGGCGCAGGTTTCGAGGTCTTTGATGCAGGCACAAGAAGAGAGCACTAAAGGTAAGAGGAATAGTGACTGTGTGTATCTTCTTTTGGTAATTTTACGGATTTTTTTTTAAATATTCTAGTCCGAGAGTTCTTGATGATTTTTGATAGTATTTCGAGTGACAAGTTGAAGTGAAAGAATGTGAATCTGAGGAGATTCCGTTTAATTACTCTTTCATCAGTGTCAATTCCTAATTTTTCTTTGAATTCAACTGGATCTTTAACACGTTCCGTGCCACGTCCCATCTCTGGACTTTCCGTTCAGGCCACTTCATATTTCGGCCTTTTCCTTGACTTAAACTATGCAACTACGGCGATAATTTGTCGAAACAAACATTTTTCCTTTGCCCTATAGCGTATCTTAAACGTTACCCTTTTCTCGATAACAATGACATTTGCGATCTTATAAATATTGGAAGACATATAGGGTGAAAAGCAAAACTTAGTCTCGACAACGTGGGGCGCATATGACCCACGCGGCGTAAACGGAGTGTCACCGAAAATCGGTCCGGCCAGGAACGTGTTAAAAGGACGTAATAGAAATATCTACGAATTTCATTTCTAGTAGTATTTTTCGATTAATTTGTTAAGTGGATTCATCTTGAAAACAGAAATTGTACCTTTCCAATCCAAAAATTCTTTTTGCAAGGTTCCTGAAAATGTGAATACGACGTACTTTGTCTTTAATACAACCATAACAGTGCAATTAAAAATGTACAATCTCTACATAAAATCCCTGAATAAATAAATTATCGCGGTCTTATTATTGCTCAGTTAACAAATTGAAGATTTATCAATATTTATCATTATTTCAAATACTTTGACATTATTGAGAATAAGGAATAAAGAATTTCTCAAAATGAATTACTTCAGAATCGGAATCCTTCGACAACGAAAATTCTCGCAGAATTTTGCAATTTTTCGAGTTATTCAAGAATATTGTATTTTCCACCGTACGGTCCATGTTACGAAGAGTTTCTCAGCAAGTAACTCGTTCTCGTTTCGAGTGTAAGAAGGTCAGGAACCTCCGGCGAATTCTGGTGGCCCCGACACGTATCGTCGGAGGGTTCGATTCCTCGTTTATAATTCAGCACGTCGTCCAATAAAGCTCAGAAGTGATTGGGAATAGCTGACCGTTCGCAACGTAACGATCACCGACCTCCAATTTTACCCACATGCCAAGTCGACTTCAATAACAACCGTCCACCCTGCACCACTTGCACTTTTCTTCCGCTTACAACCACCGTCTTCCTCCTCTTTAACGCCAAATTTTCCAAACATCTGTCTGATTTATTAATTTGCAACTTTAGCGCTCAGATTCTCTTCTAGATTTGTATTGTGCTATTTACAGTCGCTTTAGTGATTTTGATAAATCTGTGGGTGTAGCGTGAAGTCGTAAATAGTTTTGATTTTTTCTTGAATACCGAGGGAGGTGAACTGAGTCTTCGCTTCAGTTTTTAGCCCAATTTTTAATAAATATTTCCCATAAAATTTTAAATATATTTGTTTTACTCTGGTGGAATAGGTAACAGTCAATAGTGTCTTTAATATTCATTTTGTTTCAGGATTTACACTCTCCCAGGTTTATCCTAATGAAATTCTCTGAATCTTTGACAAATTAAAAGGGTCTCAACCCTTTCTCGCGTCAAATTTTCACTCCACTTTTCGGATGGCACTCGATATCGAATTTCCCAATTTAGTATCGTTTCTTTTGAAACTAGATGAAATATCACGCGAATAAATTTTCACTCGTTCCACGTTTCGAATGAGACTCGATATCCCTCATTTGAAGCTTTGGACAAGATACTTCATATATCTCTTCATGGATACACGATCGTTAGGAAATCACTTTGTCCAAAGAACCACAAATATAAATCATACAGCTGCAAATATCCTAAAATCCCCCAAAAAACTCTGTTCGGCAACTTCCGAAAAATTGAAAAATCCAAAGAACTTTCATATCCTCGCATATCTTTCCATAGAGGCACGATCCTTAGAAAAAGACTTCGTCCAAAGAACCACAAATGTGTGTTAAAATGCACCATGTGAAAGACTCTCTTCAGCAACCCTCAAAAAATCGAAAAATCCAAAGAACATCCATAGCCTCGCATATCTTTCCATAGAGGCACGATTCTTAGGAAATCACTTCGTCCAAAGAACCACAAATGCGAAAGACAAAAGTATTACACAAGTATCCTGAAATCCCCTCTTAGGAAAACACTTCGTCCAAAGAACCACAAATGCGAAAGACAAAAGTATTACACAAGTATCCTGAAATCCCCCGAGAAACACTCTTCGTGAACCTTGAAAAAACCAAAAAATCCCCGAAAAGATCCAAAGAACTTCCCTCGAAAACTATCTGCAGAGCTCGTAATTTCCATACCGTGGAACGATCGGGGACAGCGGTCTCGCAGCGAACGTATGGTCGATTCACCCGTATCCTCCGCCCTTCCGCAAAGCTGTGCCGGTGTAGGGATAAAAAATGCAATCGACAGGCCGGAGGTTACATACGCGTGGTTAAATTGGACGGAAAGCGGGGTGGCCGGGCTGGCCAGGCGAATGAAAATCGCGTTTAAAAAAGTGACACGTTCAAGTAACGCCAGCGGCGCTTCCTAGCCGCGATAACTCCGCGTCTATTGCGGCCGGGGCTCGCATGAATTTATGGTTTAATATGCGGCCCGCCGCGTTAGTTGTGTACGCCCCCTAACACGCGTTTCCGAAAGAGGAGAGGAGAGAGAGGCGTTCGCCGTCTCTGTTCCTCTTTTCTCCTCGTATCTCTCGGGGGCCCATAACTTTTCCCGATTAAGCGCAAATCAAAAAGCAATCTGCTCGGCCGGCAGCCATCGGACGCGCCCAAGTAAAACCATAAATAACCGCGAGCTGAAGAAGCGGAGAGGAGAGTCTTGTTGGAGTCTTTTTTCGGTTTACCGGGGGAAAAGGTGGGAAATCGAGCTTCTTCTTTTCTTTCTTCTTTTGGCGGGTTTGTGGTGGGTTCGAGGTGGAGAAAGAGTAAAGAGCGGAGGTTCTCGAGTGAAGAAGTAAAGGTGAGGGTTGGATTGAGGTAAGGAGATGGTTGAAGGATAATTGGAGGTTCGCGTGGAGGAATAGTGGGTGGAATGTTTGTAAGGGGTTCTTGATTAGAGATTCGGGGGAGTAGTGGGATTTTAGTGCGGTTGAAGATGGTTGCAAGCGTTTTTTGTGACAGGATTTCGGGTGGGAGGTTTGGGTTGCTTCGTTCTTTAATAGAGTTGCTTATTTGATGGATTAATTTGGTATTACTGTAATCTGGGGAGAGTATTAGGTGTGCAAATAAGTTCGGTGCCTTTTTATTCAATCGATCGTAACTTTGGTTTCAATTTGAATTCTCGCTCTTGGTGGCGTCTTAAAGTGTGTACCTTCAGCTTAAAAAGGACCCACCCAACAGAAATACATATCCACAGATTCCCTGCATCAACAACTTACCACCGAATCACCAATCCTCGTCAACGTCCTCGTTACACCATCGTTCACCCCAAAATTTCCCAATGATTCACAAAACGCCCCGCTAATACATCCCCGACACTAAAGGCATCCAACTAAAGACAATTCACCGCGTCATTCCGGTTCCGCAGAAAGGAGAAGAGAACGGAGACGATATTTCACGAGTCACTCCCAGGAACGATGTGTCGCACGACATAACAAATATCTTCGCGGAGAGAAATAGTCCTGCGTACGCGGTAGATCACCTCGTTCCTCTCCACCGAGCCACTTTGCCTCACTTGGCGTCGATCTCACCCGCGTCTTTTTCCTCTCCGAATCCTACGCCATAGAGAATTTCTCGCTTGACCCCTCTCTATGGTCAAAGGCCCGGGCTCTCGAATGTTTACGACCGACGGAACCGTGAGTTTTTCAGGCACGAGTCGGTTGAAACGTTCCACGAATTTCCCGGGATATTTACAGTTCGACCCTCGCTCTCGTCTCACCCCCACCGCGCGAATCTTCTTCGAAGGTTTTCAGGATAGCGGAATATAAATAGTTGTTTGCTCGGTGATTTGCGCGGCGCTGGATTGGTATATCGGTTTGGAATTTCGGGAAGCGGACGGTGGCTGGGTTTGACATGGAAATTTTTTCAGGGAATTGAAATCTGATCGAGGTAATAGCGAATGTGGTTTTCTTACGTTTAAGAAAATTTCATGCTTCTTATCTTCAAAAAAATCTCAATCTTGGATTTTCCAAAAATTTCAAGCTAAAAAGAATACCTAAAGGCTCCTCAACCCTTTCTCATTTCCTTCCTCCAAAGAAACCCTCGATCTTCCATCTCCTCGTCACAGATCCTCCACCACGAAGATTTCCCGCCGAAGAAGGACACCCTCGATCTCCTCAATCCTTTCTCCCAAACTAAATTATTCCCTCTCTAACTTATTCACGAAGCATCGGCAACTGCGTGCCATATGCAGTTACACCGCGTGCACGCGACAAACTACCGAAAGAGAAGAGGGTGTGATAGAGGTGGGGGGTTAAACAGGCTTGTCCCGACGCTTTTATACGCCTAATGGCCACGATATCTCCGCTGTTTCTCGTCGGAAAGGGGGGAAAAATTGGTGGCAGGATCGTGGTGCTGGTGCACGAGGGGTGGTTTCAGGCCAAGAGGGCAGCGCTCTTAGTAATCGAATTAGCGGCCCCTCGTGTCCGAGTGTGATTGCTTCGGGTCTTCCAGCAGGGTTTCTGGCCACCCTCTATCCTTCTCTCCTTCTCCCTTTTTTCCATCCCTCCCTCTCTCTCTTTCTATCTCCGTTGTCTTCTTGATTTCGACGATACAATACTCTACACGAGTAGAACCGGTCTCTAGTAACCAGTTCTCACCTACCGTTCACCTGTTACCGTTCCCGAATGGATATATTCTTCGTACACAGAGGATTTTTAGTGTTTGTACACCTTCCTACGTAGGGGAGAACTGTGAAATTTATCGCGGACACTCGATATTCCAGGATTCCACGGTGTATAGAGAATACCAGGGACTTTTATCTCGGTGATTTCTGTTTGGAATTTGAGAATTTTTTGGGGGTTGAATTTTGTGGAACGCTTGCAAGCTTGAAGTTTAAAGAATTGTGGAATGTCAGGTTGATCAATTTCGATAATTTCGAGCGACAGATTTTACAGGTTCTATATTTTATTGACATATTTGGGATTACTGGTATCGTAAGGGAGTATGTCGGTGTTTCTTCTAATTAACTAAGGAAAATGCAAAAAGTTTTAATGCAAATAGTTAAGAAAATATAAGACTGTTTGTTCAAATCAACTCAGAAGAGTATAAATTTCACGTTAACCTCTTCAGGGAAGATTTGTTTAAATTAAAAAGAAATTATCTAATCTCGTATATAGTTAAATTTTATTAAATCAAGTGATTCGCTATATTTCCATATTTTTTCCGTCACAAAAATACTGAAATCTCCGAAAAACCTAAGACACACGTGTCAGAGTCCTTGAAAAAATTAATACATTAATTTCACTGCAGATAATTAAGAATAATCAAAATCCAACGACGCTAACTAACAAATTATCCCTTGAAAATCAACACCCTCCATTCCATCTCCACAAAAATCATATCTGTCCACTTGCAACTCTTCACAGCACTGTAACAAAGTCTTCAAAGGACGATCGAACGTTGTCGGGGAAAAATCTCGGGGAGACCAAATCACCCGTCAAATAGCGTATCCCCGATGTAACGGTATAAAGCTAACTGAACGCACAGTAACACTTGCACAGTGTCGAATCGCAGACTGGATGTCGTTAAAACGATCGAGAAACACACACAGACAGAGAGACACGTGCAATAGTGCAGGGGTGTGGAAAAAAGGGGGGTCGCAGAGGGAGGGAAAGTTTGATGATGAAGGGGCGGATGACTGGAACGAGAATGGGTGTGAAAACCACGCGAGTTATTTTGCTAGGAGGGGTTTTAAACCGCTGTACATATGGATGCGGCCTCTGCTCTGCCAGGCCTCCGATTGGATTACCGTGAGGTATGCGCTTAATTGATTAAAGCGCAATACGCTCAGTCCTTGTAATTTCTCCTCGTTTTAATCGCCGCCGTACCCGTTCACCTTTTTTCCCTTTTTTGTCATCGACTCCTATGATTTTTCACTCTGTCGGCTGCGCTTCTGTGTTTCACCTGTACCTATGTACTGCCGCTGCTGCTTTTTTTTTTTTTTTTTACAGCTTCCGAGCTCGTAACTCGCACGGCGAAATAAATAGAGGGTTTGCGAATAGTGTGGATGACTGGGTTTTGGAGGAATGTCGGGGAAATTTGTGTGCGAGAGAGAGAGAGTCTTGTGAAAAGAGAATTTTGGGTAGTAGAGGGTGAGAGAGGGACAGGGAGAGAAAGGATTGGGAAAGTCTATTTAGAAAGAAAAAGAAGTTTAGACAATGGAGATTGAAAAAGAGATAGGGAGAGACAGAGACAGAGTTTAAAGACAAATTTTTGGACACTAGGGAATGAAAAATAAATAGGGAGAGACACGAGGAGAAAGAGAGAAAGACAGAAGGGTAGAGAGAAGAAGGGGGAAGTTTATTTAAAAAAAAAAGAATTTTGGACAATGAAGAGTGAAAAAAAGATAGGGAGAGACGGAGAGAATTCAAAAAAAAGAATTTTGGGCAATGGAGAGCGACAAAAAGATAGGGAGAGACGGAGAGAATTCAAAAAAAGACTTTTGGACAATGAAGAGTGAAAAAGAGATAGGGAGAGACAGAGAGAATTCAAAAAAAAGAATTATGGGCAATGGAGATTGAAAAAGAGATAGGGAGAGACAGAGAGAATTCAAAAAAAAGAATTATGGGCAATGGAGATTGAAAAAGAGATAGGGAGAGACAGAGAGAGAATTCAAAAAAAAGTATTTTGGATAGTAGAGAATGAAAAAGAAGTAGGGAGAGACACAAGGAGAAAGAGAGGAAGACAGAAGGGTAGAGAAGTCTATTTAAAAAAATGAAATGAGAAAGATGAATGAAAAAATGATAGGGAGAGACACAAGGAGAAAGAGAACTTAAAAAGCAGAATTTCAAACAACAGAGTACGATACTAATCACAACATCCCCATTCCCCCCGAAAATCCAAATTTCCCTCCCACATTCCAGTTTCCAAGACCACCTCCTTCGCACCTCGCGCAAAAACGTTAAATCAACCGTTACCGATCCCGCTCACAAACACCCGAAATCACCGCCCCTCGAACATTCAAAATCCCCACGAACCGTGAACCCCCCCCCACGGATTGCTCAAACACGCTCGATAATCAACGCGAACCGTCCGGATATTCCACACAGGATCCATCTTTACGGGGGTGGAGTAGAAATGTCGACGGACAGATGCAGAAAGCCAAGTGAGAGAGAGCGGGGTGTGATTAAGGTGGCGGCCGGTGAAAGAAGGGGAGGGAAGCTAAACATTCAGATGGAGGAGGTGGACGGAAGGGAGGCAGGAGGTAACTAACGACCCCGTATAAGACTGCGTAGCTTCACCACTTTGCTAAATTATATAAATCACGTCCCCTTCGTCAACGGCTCTTACGCGAGAGACGCTTAATCCACCCCTCTTACTTCTATCTTCTCCTCTGTGTTCTCTCTCTCCCTTCCTACTTTCTCCACCTCCTAGAGGATTCTCCCATCGGCAACACCTTCTCTGCGTGTGTTAGAGAGAGAGTTGTACCGTAGTTACTTTGCATTAAGCAACCATTAATTAGATCGGTCTGCCCGTTAATTATATCCCTCTTGGCGCGTCTCTTTTAACTCGCGGCGATGCTTGCGGCTCTTACTTCCGATGGATACAGTCCTCCACGCCTTCTCCGGGCGATGTTTTTCAAGATCGAGTCTTCCGAAGTGACCGGAGCAATTAGAGAGTTGACTGGAGGAGGGTAATTAGTCATTGGAACCGTCTTCTCTGGTGACGATCTATGGTTAATTAGGAGTTTGTACCGAGAAGCGGTTGTTTCTCTTTGAGTTTCGGGGGTTGTGATTGGTGATAGAGGGGTGGTTCGGTTTTCTTTTTCTTCGAGCTGGAAAACTAACTCTATTTTCGAGTTTTGAATAATTATTTTTGTGTTAGGTTTGTATTGCAGGGTTTTAAGACACCTGGAACATTGGATCGTTTTTATCATTTTTACAGTATCTTTTGCGACAAGAATGTTTGGGCGACTGGCAGCAGAGTGGTTGACTTTTTTTCTATTTTTTGGTATTTCATAGGTGTTGGTTTAACTAGAAATCTGGACTCTGGAGTCGTCTCAAGTTTTGGGTAATTATTTCCATTTTTGAGAATCATTGAAATTTTTTGGAATTGAAATCTTAATTGGGAGCAGAATATTAAATAGTCTTATGCATCATCTTTGGTGAAATTGTAAAATTAGCGCAATTCACTTGGAATAAATAATATTCCTCTTTGAATTTACAGATTTAAGATTGGTAGCTAACAGGATGGTTCGTTTATTTTCTTCGTTTGAGGATTTTACAGGTATTAGTCGAGGTGGAAATGTGAATTCTGGAGTCATCTCAAGTTTTCAGTTTGAAGAACTCTTGTTACGTTACATACTACAATATTAAATTTCTTCGGTATTACTTTTTACGATAAGAACATGCACGAGAGCTTTTGCAGCATTTTCCAAGAGAAAGAATACATTCCAGAAGAGGAGAAATACGAATACCATTCCGAGAAGAAGCGTCTCTAATGTCGACTAATCGGAACTCCTTTTTGCCGCGTAATTTGAATAAGATCGTCGTAAGAGGGCGAGATTTATGTTGATGCCGGTCAGACCGGAAGAAATGACCTGTGAGCGAATCGGGGAGATTAATTCAGGAACTTCCTCGTGACCGCGTTCGTGCTCGTAAATTAATCGTCGTAAAAACTCTGACTCATCTGAATCTCGTTACTTCTCGACCATCGATTCTCACATCCAAGAAGATCGTGTAAAACTAGAAAAACGCTAAAGAAAGTAGAAAATGGAAAATAAACTTTAGTGAGAAATTTGATTTGTCACTTTTCCAGGCTCGAATTGCCGTAACAACGGAAACGGAAACGGTAAGCAACGAAGATCACGAACAAACTTCACCTTGGAACAACTAGCCGAATTGGAGAGGTTGTTCGACGAGACTCATTATCCTGACGCGTTCATGAGAGAAGAACTGAGTCAGAGACTCGGGTTGAGCGAGGCGAGGGTTCAAGTTTGGTTCCAGAATCGACGAGCCAAGTGTCGCAAGCACGAGAGCCAATTGCATAAAGGTATCACTCTGATTCCATAAATTATCACGTATCATTTATTAATATAGTAATATTAATATCTTCGTAGTGAAAGGTTTAAACAAACCACAATCCTACGCCTCAAAACGAACAAGAAAAAAAAAACTCAATCTCATTTATCGAAACTCAGTTAACCCAAAGGACTAACCATCTAAGTCCAAATGGAACTACAGAGTTCTATGTCAAAAATCTACAATTTTCACATTTTAACTTCCTAATCCGAAGTACAAAGTAGACTATCTTAACCCTGAAAAAACTTTACAAGTGTACAATTTTAAATTCGCAAGTTTAACAACTTAGAGGGTTAATAAAAATTCGTTAGAATGCATGAGACTCTGAAGGGTGAACAAGCTAAAAACCATAAATCCGTTTAAAAATTACAGGTGTGGCAGGTGGAATGGTTCTAGCGCCGCGCAGTCCTCCAGCAAATTTGGAACCCTGTCGAGTGGCGCCCTATCTTCCGGCCCTGAGGTTGCACCCACCGATGCAAGCCACCGGTGGCAACGTCACTGCTGCAGGATCCGCCTTCGACCCAGCTGTCCTCCATTACGCGGCAGCCGGAGGACTCTTCTGTCTTCCGCCACCTCCACCGCCGCCACCGACTTCCGGTCATCCTCACCCTCATCCCTTAAGCTTGGCAGCTTCACTGGCTGCAGCTGCTGCACGTTCCAAGAACAGCAGCATCGCGGACCTCAGGCTGAAGGCCAGGCGACACCAGGAAGCACTTGGATTGGACAGGCCAGCGTAAAGGGGGAGGAAAAAAGGGAAAATTTGCAAAGTGGATTTTAGGGCTGTTGCGTTGAACGGTGGTGAGTATCGACTAGGGAATTTTTCTGGATGTGCAATCACCTTGTTTCGTTGAATTTTGGGTATTTGTGTAAATGGAAAAGGTGTTTCAGATTTTTGAGAATTTTTATTTCTTTTATTCAATTTAAGAGGTGAAGTGATTCGAGTGTCTTTGAAAGTGGAGAATTTAGAGTTCTTTTCGTGATTGGTAATTGACTCACCACCGTTGTGGAACACTGTTGGTGACTAACTTGCTTGCTAAATTGTCGAGTGTTCTTAAAAGGGATAATATAGGGATGATAATGATTTTTTCGATTGATTCAATTTTGTTTTCTCCGATTCGATCGTTTTCTCGTCGTTTGTTTGAGTCGTTCGACGAGAACGATCTCGAGAAGATTCGAAGTGTGTGAAATTTTGAGGTTAGGGACACTCGTGAAGAAGATGGCTGTATCATTTGGTGTCCGAGAAGTACAAACGAAGACTCGATGTGTATAAAGTGAACTCGATCGGGCGAGGAGTGTGTATTATACGTATAATATAAAAAAGTATTATATAGAAATATAGATAGTCGAGGAGTCAGTATAGTAGCTTGAAAGCGACGAATAAGCGCGTGAAGGCAGCGTTTCATCCGACGGAACGACGGAGAGAGTCTATGTTACACTTCGATTTATTCATCTTGATAAGTGAATATCGACCAAGTTTCAACGGGAATTATCCCACCTGACGGAGGTTTCAATAGGTGTTCAGTGTGTATCGAGGGTAAATTGAAAGATGTTATTTGATAAAGCGGATTCGACCATGAGACTGTTCTTGGATACATGATTGTCACTCTGTATACTATTAGCTTTAAAATATATGTACTTGAATCTTCAACGAGTGGTCCATCATTTATTATACAGGGTGTTTAAAAAAAAGTGTTAAATATTTATTAGATCACTCCAGGTGATCTTCAGGTGATTTTCAGAGCCTCCAGATAAATTTCTTTCGGTATTGTTGCAATTACATTTGTAAAAAAAAAAATGATAATACTTTTTTTGAAGCACCCTGTATATTACCCTGACCCCCAAAGATATTATTAATATTAAACGATGATAATCACTTCATTTTGGATCTCATTTGGACCTAAAGAGATCTTTTACTTCTCCAACTACTTTTACTTCTACTCACGCTTGACCAAATTTCAATAGCAAATTAATCAGAAGATCGATACATCAAAGTACCAACTTATCTTCAAACTTTCTTTCAATGGAAACACACTTTTCGTCAAGAATCTCAGCTACCATTTCTCCGCGAAGTCCATAGATCGCCAAGCTTCCAATCACCCGATTGATTCTAATTCAAATCAACCCTTTCACACTCTTCACTCACTACTCCATTTTCCACCAAACCAAAATTCAACCATAATCGGTAAATCTTTTTCGAGAAAAATCTCTTTACACCTAAAATCTAATGAAATTCTAATAATCCACCATTCGCGGTCAAATTCTCTCGATAACTCCAAGCACAAAACTTACGATACATCTCACTAAAGATTAATTCACCACGAAAATTTAAGTTTGTACGCGGGAGTAACGAGCGCGTGTGCACGCTCTGACCGTGTAAGGACAAATCGCGCGTCCTGGCACCAGCGTCCAAGACATAATTCTTGGGGATGATTCACGGCTGACTGGACAGTAGGACTTCTGGTGGCCACGGTGCCGAAGCGCCCCCGGGACGCTGGCCAGCGGCATCGTCGTCGGGGCGTTAATGCAATAACGCGTCGGTACGCTGATAAATCAACCCAACTGAATCGTTCCGCCAGTGCTGTGCCGCCTAATCGCGTTACCCCGCGAGTCCCCTGGGCGCCATTACTGTTTTCCTTACATCCCTGCGCGTTGGAACGCTCTTTCTACAAATTTTCTTATCATTCATTTTTTTTAATACTTTCCCTGTGAACGTCGAGTGTACTGCTGTTTGTAGGTATTAGGACACCCGGTGTATGTTTGTAGAGAAAGTATCGTGGGATTTTAATTAGATTTTTTTGCTAAATTTGGTACCATGTGTCGGTAACGTAGTAAATTTTGAGTTGAGTAGCTCTTTTTTAGGTTATAGTAATTTTGGAGTAATTGTTTTTAGGTTAGGTAGGGTTCAGGTTAGGTTAGGTTAGCAGAAATAATTTGAAGGATAGTGAGTGATGAACGTGGTAATATATTAGTGTTTTATTATGTCTTTTAATGGTCTTGTTGGAAGATTAATTTTTTTTCACAGAGTTTTGGCGATGGAAGAAACTTGTCAAGGGAATTGTGGAGTTTTATACTGCTTTCTTATATCTTCTGATTCTGGAGAGGATGTTTTGAGTTAAATTACAGCAGTCGTTTTCGAGGGATCCACAAGATTTATCGAAGGATTCTGTTAAATTTTTATATTTTCTGAATTTGGAGAAGATTTTGTGAGTTAAATTAGAGTGGTCGTTTTCGAGGATTCTGTTGAGTTTTTACTATTTTGCAATTTTGGAGAGAATGATGTGAATGAAATTAGAGTGGTTGCTTTCGGGGGGACCCGTAAGATTCGTGGAGTTTTTCTAGGGTTAAGGTGGTGTCGCTTTGCGGACGGTTTTGTTTTAATGAATTTTCGGTTAGAGAATGTGTGGAGCGTGTGTGTTTTGCAGGTAAATCAAGCGAGCGAATCAGTTGGAAACGTGGCGTCGCGTAATCGCGTTAGCCGGGATTCATTCTGGACGCTCCCGAGGGCGTCGTTATTGTCCTATCCGTGCGCGTTCCAGTCTGTTGTTGCGAAAGAGTGGAGCAGCTGATTAAAAAACGAAACGAGCGCAACTTCCACCACTACTCAACCTTTAAACGCTAATTCAAAAACGATACCGAAATAATACAAATTTCACTATTTTATTCAAACTCCAAATTAAACCCCACTAAACTCTAATCGCGTAAGTTAAAAATTGAACACTGATTTAAACTCTAACTGCACAAATTAAAAGAATTAGGTGTAGAAATTAATTCGGTGCCTTTTCTCACAAACTTAAATATTGATTTACAAAAAATCAAACACAATTTTAACGTTCCAAATTATCCCCATTATTTCGAATGAAATTTTTCCACTTTTTCCATGTTACAGCTGACGAATTCCCTCTCCGAAAAAGTGTGGCGATTTTGAGTCTACAAAGTCTTCGACACTTTTTGAAAAAAGGCACCGAATTAATTTGTACACTTAATAGTTTCAGTTTTGTTCAAAAATTCCGTTTAAAGTCGACTACAGCAGCTCTCACAGGTGGATCAGCCTAATCGTCCAAGCTTAGGGGATCAATTTCACCCCACGATAGTAATCAATTTAACTGACGAATTGTCACCTAACGCGGGATTCCCGCGAGACTGGGACTCTCCCCTTGGTCGCGAATAAAATAAAGCTGGTGCTTGAAATGAATTTCAAGTCTGTATGAAAAGAGAGGAAGGAACAGGGAAGGGAGAAATAGAGGGAGAAGAGAACGGATCCGTCGCTTATTTTAATCCGAGTTTAAAGAAGTTTCTCTCTTTCCTGCTGCTCGTAAATTGGCCCTCGTTTGTCTCTCGCTGCTCTCCAAAGGGCTGAAAATTCTCCCTCGATGGCGAGAAAACTCTAGCTTCCCTCTTGCTCCCCCGAGAAACTCGCACGATTCAACCGTTCACGCGACAGACATTCGTAGAAAATTCTCCTCTTCGAGGTTTTTCTACCATCTTCGGTCACTTAAATAGATTTAACCCTTTCGTGATTGAAGAATTTTTTTTATAACAGAATTTCTTATTTAACTGTAATGGATACTTGATAGAGGTCAATTTCATTATATATAGTTAATAGTGTTGATATTAGGGACACATTGTGGTGCGTTAGGTTAAAATGGCGGATTAGGGGCGCTGGAATTGCTACGGAGTGGACCAAAATGGCGTCTTTATGAAGTTAGAATATCTATTGTTCAGATTAATATGGGAATCAGATTGTAATAGTCTTTCAACTCGGTGAAATTGTAGAAATTCACAGTTTAGGTAAATCTTCTGTATTAATAGTAAGTTTAGAGATATTAATAATTTCGTGAAATTATTGTACAAAGAGTTACAGTTTAGGCGAATCGTTCTCAAACTCATTCTTACGTTACACTGTTTCATAAATTCAAAAATTTCTCTAAATACATTTTCACACGTTCAAAATTTCAAAAAATTTCTTAGAAAAGGCGAGAACATCAAGAAATTAAGGACACATTTTCTCTCGTTTAAAATTTCAAAAAATTTCTTAAAAAAGTCGAGAACATGAAGAAATTAAGGACACATTTTCTCTCGTTTAAAATTTCAAAAAATTTCTTAAAAAAGTCGAGAACATCAAGAAATTAAGGACACACATTTTCACTCGTTCAAAATTTCAGAAAATTTCTTAAAAACTTAAAAAAGTCGAGAACACCAAAAAATTAAGGACACATTTTCTCTCGTTTAAAATTTCAAAAAATTTCTTAAAAAAGTCGAGAACACCAAAAAATTAAGGACACATTTTCTCTCGTTTAAAATTTCAAAAAATTTCTTAAAAAAGTCGAGAACATGAAGAAATTAAGGACACACTGTTTCACTCGTTCAAAATTTCAGAAAATTTCTTAAAAATTTCGAGAACATCATTTGTATAACATACGAGGAAAATTGGAAAATTAAATCCGTAATAAATTCAGTGACTTTAATTTTTCGATAACTAATTAAAATAACATGTATTCGCGTAGAATAGAAATGTGTCACACAAGAGACGATTAAAATGCAGTATCGAATCGGTGAGCCGGTAACGGCGATATAATGTCCCGCAGAAAACCAGTTGCCATCATCAATTACAAGAACTGCCCTTGGTCGAGAGAAAGTCGACGAGTCGTGAGCGCAGAATAATCACGGCGGGGAAATGAAAATGGATCGACGCGGTGGTTTCACAGACCCTTATGCCTGGATCGCGATTTATGTCACG